GAGTAACTACCGCTCTGAGTATAGGTCAGGTTCATCTTGAAGATGTATCTTCTGTCACTGTAGCTGTTCCAGTCTGCTTGTCCTTTCTAGTGGGAATGTCTCACCTCACAAGGTTGTGGATGGGACTCAGGATTGCACCTAATGTCCTATACTCTGTAAAGGCTTTGCATGAGGCCTATTTAAATCCTGGGCTTTTTATTGTGTTTTCAATTTGAAATCTTTTTTACTATTTTTCATCTCAAGAGAATTTACCTTAACAAATGCTTTTCTCATAGAAATGAATTAATGCTAATACTCAAAAAAATCAAGCACCTTAACTTACAGACCAGCTCAACTTAAATAACTCTCCATCCTCATTTAGCAGGGGGCTTCAAAAAGTTCATGGAAAGAGGGAAAGAAAAGATAGTGGGATTTTCCCACAAACTTTCTGAAGTCCCCTTGTGCTAACACTCTTCCCTCATTCACTGACCTCCAGTCACACTGGATTTCTTTCTATTTTGGAATTAGATAATTGTAGAAAAGTGTGATCTTCTCTAAGAAAACGTCTGTGTCTACCTATGCACACAGCAGAAACCCAATATTGACACACTTATGTTAAAAGCTTAGTAATCTGCTTGGAGTTCACTCTGTTATCACAAGGAGCAGTGTCACAACAAAATGTTAACTGACAATGCTTCAACTTGACACACACAAGCTTTTAATAGAATTTATCACAAAATAATGGGCATAGTCCATAACTGCAGGTATATGCCGGTGGTGCTGATAATCAGCCCTGGTATATAACTCCCCTTACAGAACCGACCATACCAATATCACAACTGCAGACTACTCTTAAAAGATAAAGTATTTAGATATGAGAAAACTGTATTAGATTTTAAAAAGGGTCTTATAATTACTATACTAGAAGTTTATTAATAAAAAATAGGTATCAATCCCAGGTAAAGAACTGTCAACTACCAAGACCCACTACTTCTGCCAAAGTTTAGGCAGAAACCTAATAATAGCTCATTTAAAAATTACAGTAACTCTTGCTCTCCAAAGATTTTTAAAAATGTATTCTAAGTCTGATTTAACTAAGTTACTCACATTCTCAATGAACTGGGTATTCGACAGCATAAGAAAGTCATTGAAAACATTATGCAGGCGACAATCTGTGGCTTTAGTTTCCTGAATTAGTCCATCCACTTGTTTCTTGATTTCATGGGTCCTAGAGATGGTCTGCTGTGAGAACTCCTGTAGAAACTGTAGCAACTAATTTAAAAATAAATGTACAAAATATAAGTATTACATGCATCAATTCTGTCATCTAAAAAATACCATTTCCTTTTACATTTGTTTGTGTGTGCCCTTGAAGTGTGTGTGTGTGGGGGGGGGGGAGGTGTTAGTGAAACGTAAAAGGGATGCTATTTTTGGCAGTTCTGAGACCAAATGGTGTTTTTCCATTACGAAAGCTCATCAAAATAGTAGCAACGCATCAATGGACACTTGCTATCTCATTTCTAGAGAAAATGTGAAGTCCTGTTTGGTTGTCATTTGCAAATATCACAGAGGAAAGGTAAAATAACAAGCTACCACTCTTAAAAGAATTCTATTTACGTGAGGCTTTGAAACCAACTTTTCTCAGTTCTGGGCTTCCTGGCCTCCTGCTTGAATAGCACCCTCCACCCTCACTAGTGGCTGTAGAACGGTGAAAGAGAATCTGGGCCCCCCAATCAAGGAAGTGAATGATGCATCCCTAAGAAACCCAGACACAGCAGAGAAAGAATCTCGCGTTTGGGCGGCAGTCGTGTCCGAGCTCTCAGCCAACTAAAGCCTACCGGCCGAATCATAATAATTTCAAGAATGAGAAGGGAATGTGTATTACTGACAAGAACCAAACAGAACCTCTAAAGTGGGACTCTTCGCAGCCACAGCTTTGAAAGGAGGCAATGAGACTGCCTAGACTGAAGGGGCATTCGAAGACACAAGTCCTTCCCGTAGGCTGCCCCAGCGTTTCCGCGGCGCCCAAGGCGGCCCACCCGCCCCTTCCGGCTGCAGGGCCCACTGCTCACGCCCGCGTCGGCCGCCAGTGACCAGCTTTGGCTGCTCCTGCGGATCTCCTCCACTGACCAGGGCCGCTCCCACACGGGCTCAGACGCCGGTGGCCGTTCCGGGTCGGGGGTCGTCCCGTTCATCTGCAGCAGGAAGGAAAAGAGGAGCTGAAGTGTGGGGTGGGGAAGCCGCGGCCGGGTCCAGTCCTGCCTCGGTCCGCCCAGCCCAGTCCGCTCTTGTCACCCTTACCATCCCGGCTGCACGGGTACTGGAACTCGAGAATTACGATGCCAGCCCCCCTCCGATGGCTGCAAGTCTCAGAAAGCTTAGAGCGCAGTCTCCGGCTCCAACTTGAGATCGGGCGTCACGTGATCGTATGTCACGTGACGGGGTTCGCACGTGACCGGCCGTTTAATGCGTCTACCCTATCTTCTGAGGGAGAGCTGTGGTCCCTGACTGGAGATGGGAGATGAGTCTATTGGCTGGGTTGGGACCAGTGGGCTGTAAGGAGGTAAGGGTCAGCTCAAAGGCACGTCAGCCGGCATTGTCGGAGCTTTCTGCAGGCTATAGAGGGAAGGCTGCGCTCAAAGGAGGCTGTAGTACACCCAGCCGGAGACTTTAAACGTCGAGCGATGTGGACAGAAAAAGTCCTCCAGTACTATATCTGTTAACTTGCTGCATTTCCAGTGCCCGTCTAGAACTGCTTATTGCAAAGTGAACGGTTCAAATCCAAAGCTGCTCCTTGGAAACCCTACACAGGGCCGCTATGAGTAGGAATCCAGTCCACCACATTTAACAACCACAACACTAGACGGAGAGTGACTGACTGAATTGAGGGAATCATGAGCTCTTGATGACCTGCTGTATGATAGGGTTTGCCTAAACTGTTTTTATCACCTCGACATTCCTCCTTTAAAGTCCAAAGGCCAAACTCTTCATGATGGGACCCATCCTCACTTCTCCTCGCTCCCTACTGCCCAGGAGAACTCCGTGAACGTGCTAGTGTATCTCAAACTTACTACTGAGTCGTTCTTGTGCCAGCTGAACTTAACCTTTTAAAGTTAAAATCTCAAATTATTTTCATCCCTTTGCGCCCTAGAACAAGTTCTTTAATCTCTGTGAACTTTTCTCAGTAATATGAATACATATCTCTCAGGGTTGTGGAAATAAGTGTGTTATCTATGAAACAGCTTGGATGATGTCTGGCTTACTTAAGGCGAGCATTCAGCATAGAATTTGCCATTCCTCCCAGCTCCTAATTTTTGTAACTCTTGGACATTTTTTGTATTCATTTATCAGCTAAGTGACATTTTCCCTGACTGCCCCATCAATTATAGATTGAGTAGCCCTCTCAGTTACTTTGTACAAATATTTATCATAAACTATTTCACTGCATTTATTTGCATCTGTCTCCCATTTAATAATAATTACTGACATTTATGAAGGACTCAGTATTTGTGAATTACTTTTATGGTCAAAATAATGTAATTCTCAGTATAACTCTGAGATAGGGCTCATTATCCTCATTAATTTAAAAAAAAGAACTGAGGCAGAGAGAGGGTAACTTACTTACTCAGGGTAGTTGTTTTTGCTTCTCCTCATTTTTAGTTGTTCCCCATCAGCAAATATCCTGAAAGCTTTCATCCATTTGTGTCATCATGGTCAACTCTACTGTAAGGAGGCAGCTCCTCCCCAGTCGTATTTTGGGGTCTTCCAACCCGGGGGGTTCATTTTCTGACACTATATCTGACAATATTCTGGTATTCTTCATCATGTTTCAATATTCTGGTGCTGTCTGACAGTGTTCCACTGCTATTCATAAGGTTTTCAATGGCTAAAGTTTCAGAAGAAGGCTGCCTTTCTTCGATTCTAATCTGTCTTTATTTGGAAGGTCAGCTAAAACCTGTCCACCATGGGTGCACCCTGCTGGTATATAAAATAGCGATGACATAGCTTTCAGCATCCCAGTGACACATAACCCACAGTACAATAATCTGACAAATGAGCGGTGGTATTCCATGGTTGTTGTTGTTGGTAAGTGCCGTCAATTTGGTTCAACTCATAGCGGCCCTGTATAGGGTTTCTGAGAAGCAGATGGTGGGTTGGTTTAACCACCAACCTTGTGGTTTGCTGTCTAGTGCTGATCTTACAGTGCCACACCAGAATTCCTTGGTATTCAAAGTTAGACATCCATTAAACAAGCATAGCCAGGAGCCCACACCAACATGTTACACCAAAACCAGAGTCCAAGGTTCTTAAAAGAAGTTCATTTTTAAGCTTCTTTCTACCAACCTCCTTTCTTTCACATTTGTGAAAGAAAAGAGAAAACTTGAGTTGAGCCTCTTTAAAAACTTGCATCTCATCTAACATGGGCAACTTTGTGACCCTGTAGATGACCTTGGGCTTAATGTGACTAACAGACTTAATCCACACCCAATTCTACGTTGTTGTTGTTAGTTGTCTTCGAGTCAGTATCGACTCTGGAGAGCCTATTACAACAGAATAAAGCACTTCCTGGTCATGTACCAAATTCACAATTGTTGCTATATTTGAGCCTATTGCTGCTGCTACTGTACCAATCAATCTCATTTGGAGACTTAATCTTTTTATCTGACCCTTCACCTTACCAAACGTGATATCCTTCGGGGACTGATTCCTCCTGATAATATATCCAAAGCATGAGAGACAAAGTTGAGCCATCCTGGCCTCCAAGGAGCACACTGGCTATACTTCTTCCAACACAGATTGGTTTGTCCTTTTGCCAGTTCGTGGTACTTTTAAAATTCACCAACGCCATAACTCAAATGCATCATTCTTCTATGGTCTTCTTTATTCATTATCCAACTCTCATATGCACATGAGGTTATTGAAAATACCATGGCTTCTCAAATTGACATCTTCGTTCTTGAATACTTTATAAAGAGCACAAATCTATTATCTTGTGCAGCAGATTTGCCTAATACAATACACCATTTGATTTCTTGGCTGTTGCTTTCATGAGTGGTCATGGTTTATTCCAGAAAAATGAAGTCTTTGACAACTTCAATCTTTTCTCCATTTATATGGATGTTATTTATTGGTCCAGTCGTGAGGACTTTCGTTTTCTTTACATAGAGGTGCAACCTATATAGAAGGTTGTGGTCTTTGAATTTCATCAGTAAGTATTTTAAGTCCTCTTCACTTTCAGTGAGCAACATTGTATCATTTGCATATCACAAGTCATTAATGAGTTTTCTTCCAATGTCACATTTTTCTTCATTTGTTCCCACTTCTCAAATTATTTGCTCAGCATACAGTTGGAATGTGTATGGTGAAAGAATACATCCTTGGCACACACCTTTCCTCATTTTGAACCATTTGGTGTTCCTTTGTTCTGTTCAAACAACAGAACTGCCTGTTGGTCCATGTATAGATTCCTCATGAGCACAATTAAGTGTTCTGGAATACTCATTCTCTGCAATGTTGTCCATAGTATGTCATGATCCACACAATCGAAAGACTTTGCGTAGTCAATGAAGTACAAGTAAATATATTTTGAGTATTCTCTGCTTTTAGTCAAGATCCATCTGATGTCAGCAATGACATCTGTCATCCCACATTCTCATCTGAATATGACTTGAACCTCTGGAAGTTCTCTGTCAATGTATGGTTGCAGCCATTTTTGTATTAAGCAAAAATTTACCTGCATGTGATATCAGTGATATTGTCCTATGATTTTTGCATTCTGTTGAGTCACCTCTCTTTGGAATGGGCACAAATATAGATCTCTGCCAGTCACTAGACCAAGTAGTGTTCTTCCAAATTTCTAATCATAGATGAGTGAGTGCTTCCAGTGCCACTTCATTTTGTTGAAAGATTTCAATTTGTGTTGTCAGTGCCTTGTTCTTTGCCAATGCCTTCAATGTACTTTGGATTTATTCCTTCAGTATCATTGGCTCTTGATCATATGCTACCTCTTAAAATGGTTAAACATTGACCATTTCTTTTTGGTATGGTGACACGTGAGTATTCCTTCCATCTTCTTTTGATGCTTTTGCATCATTCAATATTTTGCCCATAGAATCTTTCAGTATTACAAGATGAAGCTTGAAAATCTTGTGTAGTCGGCTTGAGAAATGCTGAACATGTTCTTCTCTTTTAGTTTTCTTATTCCAGGTCTTTGCACATTACTTTATAATACCCTTACTTTGTCTTCTCAAGATGGCCTTTGAAATTTTCTATTCAGCTCTTTTACCTCCTCATTTCTTCTATTTGCCTTAGAATTTCTATACTGGTGAGCAAGTTTCAGTGTCTTCTCTGACATCCATTTTGGCCTTTTTCTTCTTTTTTGTCTTTTGCTTTCTTCCTGTATGATGTCCTTGATGTCATCCACAACTCTTCTGGTCTTCAGTTTTTAGTGTCTAATGACTCAAATAAATATGTTCTTCAGATGATCTCTATATTTAGATAGGATATATTCAAGGTCATATTTTAGCTCTAGTGACTTGTTTTAAATTTCTTGAACTTCAGCATGAAGATGTATATACGCAATTGATAGTCTGTACCTAGCCTTGTTTTGGCTGATAATATGGAGCTTTTCCATCGTCTCTTTCCATAGACTTAGTCAATTTTATTTCTGTGTATTCCATCTGGTGAGGTCTATGTAAATAGTCATCTTTCGTGGTGTTTAAAAAAAGGTATTTGCAATGAAGAAGTGATTAGTCTTGCAAAATTCTACCATATGATCTCCAGCATCCTTTCTATCAACCTATTTTCCACCTACTAATCCAGCCTCTTTGTTTCCAACATTAATTGCATTCCAATCTCCAGTAATTTTCAATACATCTTAATTGCATGTTTGATCACTTTCAGAGTGAAGCAATTAGTAGAATTCTTCAATTTTATCATCGGTTGCTTTAGTGGTTGGTGTGTATATTTGAATAATAGTGGTATTAACAGGTCTTCCTTATTGTCATTATTGTTAGGTGCCAGCAAATCAGTACCGACCCATAGCGACCCCATACACAGCAGAACAAAACACTGCCCGATCCTGGGCCAACCTCACTATTGTTGTCACACTTGAGTCCATCGATGCTGCCACTTGGCCAATCCATCTTGTTGGGGGGTCTTCCTCTTTTTCTCTGACCCTCCACCTTACCAAACA